AGGAATGCCTGAGTCCGACACAACGGTGCTGCACCATCGTGTTTGGACCCTACGCTGTCCCCAGCTGGAAACCTGGAGCCTTTTTATTTACTGGTAGAGCAGCGGTGCCGCTGTGCCACCTCTCGCGTCCCCCCAGCGTGCAAGGGCTCTGAGCAGAGACGGGGACAAACAGGTTACCTGAGGGGCCCTGCAGTCCAGGCGGTCCCTGAGGGCCCGGCGGGCCAGGGGGGCCAGGCGGTCCCATGACGGTTGTGCCGGGAATCCCGGGGATGCCGGGAATGCCAGGGGGACCCTGGGGCCCAGGAGGACCTGGTGGCCCTTGGGGACCGTTGGGCCCTGGAGGACCAGCCTTTTTACCTGCAAAACAGAAGGACAAATGTTAGCTTCTCCACACGCTGAGTATGTGATGGTCTTTTACCTACAGGAAAGCCCCAGGAACGAGGAAAGCAGACGACTGGGGATGGCTTGTTGCAGGCTGGAGGGCAGGGATGAGGAGGAGCACCCAAGCAGCTGGGGTGGGGCTCCTGCAGCTCTGCCCCATGAGGACAACGCTGCCGGCAGGGCAGAAGCAGGACACCGCCTTGCAGGCTCCTTCCAGCACGTAGAATTACATTTGCATGAAGCATGTGGACTCTCCAAGGCCTCCCAAGAGATGGAGGCTCAGAGGGTCTCTGCCCCAGAGCTCCGGCCACAGCCCCAGGAGGTCCCGCAGCCCTCCACGGCAGCGCGCCCGAGAGCTGGGGGCACCCCGATGCAAGGTTAGGGTGCTCCCTTGGACCAACTGCAGGCTGCAAGGCAATGCACTGAAAGCTGGAGTATTAAAAGTCGAGATGAGCCGCTCTGCAGCTTCTCAGGTTTCTGTTTTTTGATGGAAACCAGTTGCAATCTTTTCTACCTGCTGCGTACGTATGCATTGGCAAATAATCCCCATGGCTTGATCTCCTGGCCGAGGGAGAGCGGTGCCTCCAGAGGGCAGTTCAGAGCTGAACTTCAGCTCCTCTCCAGCAGCTGCCGAGCAGCCAGGGCGTGCAGGAGGCATCCCCGCAACGCGGCACCTTGCCGTGGTGCGATGAGGATGCGCCCAACGCACACGAAGGACTGAAGATGCTACAATGCCTCGAAATAAATTACAGGTGCATTTTGGGCTTTGGATAGAGGGGTTAGGGAAGGACTAACCCAACCAGGAGGATGAAACGCTGAAGAATTCCCACATTCTTCAAACACATCTCATCACGCGGTCCCAGGAAGAGAAATAGCAGGAGCATGTAAGTAAAGACTCTTAGCAGGCACAGACGCAATGGACTGAAATAAGGCCTGCAGGGAAAGCCTGACCCATGCTCTCCTCATTTTCCAGATCCCTGATAGGAATTATGTTCTTTTGATGTCATTTTAAAAATGCAACTTTGTAACAGCTTTTATGCCAAAGAGCTTTATTAACTTCGCAAAATTGCTTCAACTCTGGAAACAAAGTCTGCTGTAGGACAGAATTAAACACTTTTTTAGATGACAGCAGCAGTTAGGATATGAAATAATGGTTATTGGAATGGTTTCTGAGTACGTTTATGTTCTTGTTTCTCTACTAAATATCCACCTTTGTCATGGAACAAAGCTATAAGGTAAAACCCATCTATTTTAGTTAGCGCCAAAGTGGACATCTCTAGACGGCCACTAGCCACGAACAAGGGCACAGGGAAATCAGCACAGGACAACTGTGCCGTTCAGCTGCAATGGGCAGAAAACCAAGTTAAAGCAAGCACGGGGGACTGAAGGAATACGGGTATCCTACAAAAACAGGGCACAGCTTACGGGGAGAAATCGTTCGCGGCAGTGTTTCTGCCCAGATTAGCAGCCGTGTCTTCAAATCTGAGCTGCCACAAGCCAGCCTTCCTCTAACCCAGCCATTCTCCTTCTCCTCGGGTTAATGACGTGCTGTGAAAATTATCATCTTGCATCAAACCCCTCACCAATTGCCCCTAAAGCACACTTACTGAATTCTTCTCATTTACATTCCCTCCGATTTAGGCCATCCGAAGGAAGGATCATATGCAGTAAGTCAGGAATCCTGCTGCTGTCGTTCCTTGATTTCCCTCCCAAGAGGGATACGCATTACAGCTGGTTTAACTAATCCATCTCAGAAATCTGGTCTGCTACTCAATGAGCTGCTAGTTTAGCGGTACAACAATTGCACATAATTCTGATGCCGCACAGGGACACTCATTTTCTGTGCATTGCCCTTCCTTCAAGTAATTTCCACTACTTTTCTGCCTTAAGGGAGCCTCACTTGTTGAAGTCACAAGGCAAAAAATAGATATTCAGTATGTATAAAGCTCTCGATTCATCTCCTGACGGCGGGGACCCCAGCCCCAGCCGGAGCAGCTCTCCAGGGAGGGTCTCCAGCACCAAGTCCCAGCATGCCAAGCCTCCATCTTTACCCACATGCACTAGGCAGGCTCAAAACTCAAAGCAGGCAGTTTTCCTTGATCATCGTTCACCAAACAATACGCTCTAATTCTAAAAAAAATTAAATGTGACAATACCATAAAATTAAACTATTTTATACAGCGCTACAGCTGTATATAATACAGCTCTATGAGATCCCCCTGCTACTCCAGAATTGCTGTGAATACCACAGTCATCATTTGTTATTAGTTTGGCTGATTTAACACGGGTTTAGGGTTTCAGAGTTTTGTTAGGACAAACTTCTCAAACATAAAATTTTATGCTGCTTTCGAGGGTAAACATAAACTAAGCTTCTAACTGCGGCCTGTCTCAACCTCTCAGCCGTAAATGTTGAGTTTGCATCCAAGGATTAAAAACGATTTGATGTGCTCTTAAAGTAGCACAGAGGCGCAAAGCTCGGCTGCTCTCGCTGCTGCAGGTCGCGACGGCGGGCTGGAGCCCAGGCCACGTGCCGGCACGTGTGGGAAGGCCTCTCGAGGGACCCTGCGAAGTGCCGAACAGCTAAATTTTCTGTTAATTAAATATACATTAGGTGCAATAGGTAGTAAGCAGAGAGCTGACATTGCAGCAGTTGATGCTTTGCTGCATGGTTCGGCCACGAGCCTGTGCTGCACGCCGACACCTGCACGAGCCCTCGATACGCTGGGCTTCCCGGGCTTCAGAGCAGCACGGCCCCGAGTCGCACACCATTTCTGCACTTCTCATAACCTGCAACCCGCTGCAAGCACGCACCGTGGTTTTAAAGACGTGCACAGAAGTGTTTTGATGGTTAGGAGGGGCAAAAATGGGTAATTTGACTGCATTTCCCTGAAATCAGGGAACTTGAGCCCTTTGGCTCGCTCAGGTGCCTGGTAGCAAGTAAGCGTATGACCATAAGCATTCCCAGGAGTCCTACACAAACAGGAACGGCATCAGGCACCCCATGGAAACACAGGGCTACCTCCCAAAGAACCCAAGTCACAACAACTCATCCACAGGCATTTTAAAAAATACCCAATTACCCATTGCAAACAGCTGGAGGAACATAAGAAAGTCAGACGAAATACCTGTGGGCTGACCAACACTCAGAATGGATGCATAAAATAGGTTAATTTGAGATTAATACACAACCAGAAGTGAAATGCAGAGCTTATCTACGTTGACTTTGGTGGGTCTGAAGGAGACCCCAACCTGCAGCAAGATGCACGGCAGGACAGGGATGAAAGCTAAAGCTGTTGTGGCAGAGACGGCCTGGCAAACAGCGAGCAGCTCCCAATAGCTGGTACGTGACTCAACTCTGCTCAACTACTTAATTACAGCATCTTCAGAATTACTTCCATACAATGTAATCAACTTCCTCGAGCTTTTAAGGGAGGCTTCAAGGAGCGCCTCTGCCCCCCGGGTGATGCGGTCCTGCCACGGCAAGGCGGGAGCAGGAGAGCAAGCCATGGTCCGCGCCGTGGGACCCCGCACCACGTTAGCCCCTGCCCTTCCCGGGGAGGGAACCTGCTGTTGGCTTCTCCTTCGTGCTGCTTAAAGAGAATTCACAGGCAGGTAACACAGGCATGGAAAGGAAAAGTAAATTAAAACTCAGACTTACCCTTTTTCTTGTTTTTAACTGAACTTGGACCTACAAAGGAAAAAAAAGAAAAAGAAATTCAGTGATCATTTAATCTTAGAAAATCCCCACTGCCACCAACACCCACCGACCCAGAGGCTGCCTCTCCAGAGCCGGAACAAAACTGGCAACAAAACCAGTAAGCCAGTCGAGTTTTCTTTTGCTGCTGTGAAGGTACAACAATTAATATAACAAGGTACAACGATACCGGGACCTGGGCCTGCTTTACCCTCTCTCAAACCAGCAGCCTGTGGCTGGTGTAACACGAGCGAGGGAGTTTTGGGGGCTCTCCAGGAGGGCATCTCCCCCCTTTACTGCCAAGACGAGTTACACCACCCGCCTGTGGCCAACAGCCATAACCTTGAGCCAGAGCTTTACTCTCCGGTACTGGCTTAGCTCCAGCTCTGCCCAATGCCGCTCAGAGCTTTGCCATATGTATCCCCTGAGGTCACTGATGGCAGCGCGGCACGTCACACTTTCAGGCAGCAGAAATCCTGAGACTCAACAGAAACTATTGAAAAACACGATCCCTGCACAGCAGATTATTTTTCACACGGACAAACGGATGCATTTGAGGTCTATGCAGCCACGCACGAATTTTCTCTGTTAGCTTGAAATCGCCAAGCTTCACATTCAAAGCTGACACATTTTGCTTCCCGACGAGGACAGGTTAGAAGAAAATTCACACGACTCAGCTCTCAGCTGGGAGCAGTCACCCAAATACTTGCAAGCCAAATTGTTTAAAAATAATAATAAAATACTAAAAAAAAAACAAAAGCAAAGAATTAATATGAACTGGCTTATTTAAACAATGGGAATACAAGCCTCCCTAGCACAAAGTGAAAACACTTACAGTGAAGCTGAGAAACTACATGACTTTTTAAGTAGAAGCTGAAGTGTGAAACGTTCCATTGCTTCCTCAAAAATTAATCAGGGATGGGAATGAACTGCGAAAATCCCCAAATCTTCCCTCACTGTTCATCAGTGAAATCCCTCTAAAATCTGGGCTTAAACAGAGGTCGAAGACTGAAATCACCTTTAGCTGAGATGAGCTTATAATGAGTGGGAGGTAACGAGGTTGCTTTGAGTCAGCACTGGTAAAAAAAGACAAATCACCAATTAATACAGAAGTGCCACGTTCCCATGGCTAGGTGGAAAGAGGAGAGAAGGCCCAGAGAAACACGCAGTAACCTTACGGATGCCTTTTCAACAGGAATATTCATTTGCCTACATTATGCTGTTGGGTCATGGGAAAATTATGGTATCATCTGATTTATTACTTCTGCTAATTTACTGGTTTGTTACTAATCCATATATTCACAGCATTAAAACACACAGATAAGACAAGACACAGGTTTCTAGCAATGCCAGTCCCAGTATCTTGCTAGGGAGCGACAACGAGGCCAAGCAGCAGGTCCACCGCCAGCAGATGAACTGCAAAACCTTCCACGTTTGGCAAACACCCACTGCCTCCTCTTTTTGCATTTTCTGAGCTCCCGCATGGCAGAAGGAGCCGCAATCACGCCGGCCGTCTCCACCGGCCCTCATCTTCAGCACAGGCTAGTTAATAACATTTCCAGTGAAGAGAAAGAAATTGTCTGGGGGACGGCATTTAAAAAAAAACTAACACAGCAAGCAAAATGCGAGTACTGTGTATGTGTTTCTTCAGACCTCGGAGTCACGAGAGTTTATTTCATGTTATATATATCACACCATTAGCGCTATAACCAGAGTGAAAGTACAAATAGCTGCGGCGAGCCAAACACATTTGAACTGGATGGAACCAATTAGCTTCAAAGATGAATGGGAGGAATGAGAACCACATGCGATGTCAATGTTCACAGTCTATATTACAACACACGCATCTGTTCCAGGCACGGCAGAGAGAGATGTTACGGCTGTGCAAGTGAATCTTTCGACAAACACAAAAATACTTCTGACATGAAAAAAACACAATATTATTAGCCTTGGGAGCTTCTGAGTCTCTGGGGTTTGCATCTGTTCGTCTCCCAATAGGAGGGGGCGGATAATTTGATTGTAGCAGGGAGCCGTAAGGTTCATCTGATAACACCAGAAGACAGAATTTTCCTCATTTTTGCTCAAAATGGTAAACTCGTTGGACCTTTCTCAATTTCATCTAAAACGGTAATGAAGTCTCTTACCAAGTCTGGGAAGCAGAGCTCCACCAAAACATCAGATCTGTATTTCCTTCAGTATGAAAGGCGCTGAGGCACAAGGCTTGAAAACTTTACTCGAGATACGTTGTCCCAACACATATGTGCAGAGGAGAAAAAAAAAAAAAATCCTTTCTGACATGCTTTTCCGAGGCCACACCCCAATATTTAAGCGATAAAGCCTGTTACACGCTATAGTGGTTGAATGCGTATGACCCGCTGGTTAGCTGTTAACTGATGGAGCAGGTTAAATACCTACAAGTTAGGCAACATAAGTCTTTCCCAGTCTTTTCCTACAGTTAATCCCACCTCACTATCCCACTCCTCCTGCGGAGAGGCTCCCGGTCTCCAAGCCTTTCACACTACCCACGCTTCTTTAGCATAGTTTCACGGAGGCCATTAGATGACTTGATTCCAAGGAAGGTGTAGGAGAAGTTACTTCTTTTTCGCTTCAAGATGCAGACTACACAATGTTCCTCTACAGTATCAAAAGCCTTATAAAAATCCAAGTTACAGGATACCTACTGCTGCTCCACAAGACCTGCCATCTTCTTGTAGAAGGAAATTGGGTTGACTTGAAGAATTCTCCACCGACCCATGCTGCCTGCTACCGCTCTCATCTCTGCTTGCAGGGGCTTCCCTGCAGCGCTTTTGAGGATTTATGCACATCCCGGGTGGACCTGAGAGCAACCCGACCCATCAGCTGTTCCCCAGCACCTCTTTTCCTTTCTTTATAAAAATAACCTCGACTTTGCTTTTCTACACTTTTCTGACATCACCACTGTTCCTCATGAATTCCTTAAAGTACCTGCTACAAACTTGCTAGAGACCAAGCTCGTGGTCTGGACTGCTGGTACGAAACGTGACAGCCACCCAGGCATAGCTCTTTTTCTCCATATGTGCTTGGGCTCGACTTTTGGACTTCTTCCTACCAATCCCACCTATCTCCCACCTCCTTTCCACGTGCTGTCTGCTCGTGTTTGAGGTCAAACCAGACCCCAGACCAAGGGAAGTCCAATCCCTTCTACATCTCCTGTCTTTCATCTGAAATTAAATTTATGCTTATGCTCTAATCCATCCTTGAAGGAGCTGTCAGCTCTGTTCAACCCTGCATTTTAGCTTTGCTTTGCAGAGGAAGGAAAGTTGACGAGAACTGTTAATACAGAAGAGGACTGGGATATCAGAGAGGACAGGCTGGACGGCTTTGAAGGATAATAAGCATGGAATGAGATTCAGTCATACAAAATGCACAGTGCTATAAATTATAGATAGAGAGGGAATAATAAACTGTTCTGCTGGATGGTGGAGCTCCTCAGACGGAGCTGCGGAGGACAACGTCTGCACGTGCTGAGTTGCTGTCACACAGCCAGGAAAGGCAGAAATGCAATCTTGAAACAGATCAGTGGAAATACCTCTGGCAGACGTGGGGCAATACTGATGCCGCTCAGCAGGCGGGGGTGAAAAACCTGGGAGTAATGCAGTCAATCCTGATCATCTACATACAGAAAGGAGAATTTAAATGAGAAAAATGTCACAGAAGGGCTCCTGGGAAGGTCGAGAAGTGGTCAAGCAGAGCTCACCTGGTTGGCCATCAATGCTGGGAAAAGGATGAGAACACCGCTGGGAAAGGCTATGGTGATGGGCATGGAGGGAGACCACCTGTTAGGGCTTAAAGGACAGCGCTGGCACATCCTCACATGTGTGAATTGCTCCCCAAGACCATTAAGATGGGAATGAGAAGGCTTCTTCTAACCTCCAGAAGGAGGAGGACAGGTTTGGAGGGGGTCTTCTAGCTCAGAGCGAGCCCTCCGGTGTCACGGGTCACTGCTCTCAAAAGTTCACCAGTCCCTTTGGAAAGTGGTGAGGTTATTTTTTGTCTAACTACTAAAGCCATAGCTACTAAGCTATGAAGCAGGCTGCTAGCCTGACTTGAAACGTTTAAGCTAGCTACCTGATCTACTTCTAAAATTTATCATCTCTTTCATTGGATTTCCTGTAGGAAAAGCCCACCAACTCCTGCTGCAATAACTCAGGCCAGCTCTACTGTCTGCCAGCTGAGTTCTTCATCTCAGGACGGGGTTTTGCCAGCAAAGGTGTTATAGCAGCAAGGCTGCACGCTGGGCTTTTGAAGACCCTGGCTTTGAACAGTGCTTGAGACCTAGACTTCTCCAAAAGCTTATTTTCCACATCCGTTGGGAAAATAAAAGGGAATGATAATAGAAAAGGAGGGAATATAAAACCAGCAAGAGTGGTAAACTTTAAGCGAAAGGTACAAGCAGGAAACTACAGCTCTGTATGATAACAAAACAGCCACCCTGGAGGCCTTGTGCCCGCAGAGCCATCCAGCAAGCGCCATCCCATCGGCAAGGGGAAGGCGCCAAGCAATGCCAAGTCACTTCTAGCAGAAGCACTATGGCCACGGGTTTTAGCACCGAGCCACTTCAGATGCAAACTTCTCACCTAAGCTAAAGAAAATATTTGCAATAGCTGAGTTTTTGCTGGGTAAAACCGCAGCTGTGGCCCAGCAAGCAGCAGAAGACCTCTAACCGTGCTCCAGGGAGCAGGTTCTAGCCCACAGCTCCTGCAGCCCTAGTATCTGCTGGATCATTTCCAAGGGCTTCAGAAAAAAAACAGATGGTGATGCAACTCGAGGATATTACATATTACATGTTTTCTCTTATAAAGATTAATAGAGTTTACCCCCCCGATTTTTCTTTCTGCATGCTACACACTGCTATGATTTACTATAAATACAAAAATATCAAAAACTTCTTTAGGACATATGCTGATACAAACAGTATGTTAAAAAATCCCTGCATTCACTTATTAGTTATGTGT